TTGTGTGGTGTCTTCAGCAATATGGACTTGACTTTTAGATTTTGAGAGGGAACTAAGGGCAAATGACAGTAGCTGTTTTGCTTTGGGCTTGTCTTGGACTCTTCTTACCAACAATTCAAAAGAAGCTTTCCCATAACTGATACAAGGGTTTTTTGTTACTAAGACTATGGTTCTAAACTAATAACTCCTTGTTTTTTAAGTTCTTTATATATTCTGGATCTTAATCCCTGTATCTGGCTAAGATCCTCTCTCACTCTGTGGGTTTTCTCTTCACTCAGTTTATGGCACCCTTTGTTGTAAAGAAAGCATTTTTATTAGGTTCCACTTGTCAAGTGTTGTCCTTAATTCTTGGGCAAATGGAGCTCTAATAGCAAAGTCGTTTCCTACACCTACATCATGTAGGGTAGTATCTATACTTTCCTCTAACACCACATTTCAGGTTTCACAATAAGTTTTTTACTCCATTCATAGTTGATTTTTGTGCAGGGTACTAGATGCAGGTCTAATTTTCTTCCTCTAAATGTGGACACCCAGCTTTTCCAAGACCATTTGTTGAAGATGCTGTCTTTTCTCTAGTATGTATTTTTGACATCTTTGCTATGACCTACCTTGAGATTGTATTTCCTCCTCTAATTCCTTTTCATTCACTCCGACTCATCTGGAGACAGGGTCTTGCTCTGTTGCTTATACTGGCCTTAAACTCAGCATCCTCCTGCTAAGGTTTCCAACTGCTGGGATTACAGGCACGATCCACCGTACCTGCTTTTTAAGTTCATTTTTACTATTTTTATTTAAATTAAAAACAATTTTATTTTACAGACCCATCCTCATTACCTCTTCCTCCCATCTTCCCACTCCCCTCACCATCTGGCCATCCCACCCTCCATCCACTCCTTAGAAAGGGTGAGGCCTCCCACAGGGGATCATCAAAGTCTGTCACATAATTTTTTTTGTGGTATTAGAAATAGAAAAAGGCTAACTTTAATTATAACACATGACTATTTAAATAATTTTGCAGTATTTGTTGAATTTGTTGAAATCACTATTATTTCTTTATTGAATTGATTTTGCACCTTTGTTGAACCAATTGATGATGTATGTGTGACTCTACATTTGGGTATTCTGTTAACCTGTTTGTATAACTTTTTACTGATATCAAATACCCTGAAAACCATATTTTTTTTTTGAGACAGAGTTTCTCTGTATTGCCTTGGAGCCTGTCCTGGAACTAGCTGTGTAGACCTGTAGACCAGGCTGGCCTCGAACTCACAGAGATTCTCCTGCCTCTGCCTCCTGAGTGCTGGGATTAAAGGTGTGCGCCACCAACGCCCTGCTGATAAACATAATTTTACGTTTCTAACATCTTTCTTCTTCAAAATTGCGTTGGTCCTTTTACTTCCAATACAAATGCATTAATAGACTCCCATCTTTTCTTAAAATAAAATATCCTGCTAATACTTTTTTTTTTTTTTTTTTTGAGACACGGTATTACTATGTAGCCCCAGCTGGTGTAGAACTAACTATGCAGACCAGGCTGGCCTTTAACTGCCTCTGCATGGAATCTATCGTTTACTTTGGGAAGAATGGAGGCCTTAAAAAAATCTTTGTCTTCCAACCTACAAATACTATAAGTTTGTCTAACCATTAGGCCTTCTCTACAAATACTATAAATTTGTCTAACTATTAGGCCTTCACTGCTTTCTTCCAGCAATGTATTATAATTCTCTTAGTGCAAACCATGCATATGTTTAAGGTTCATCTTTGGAAGGAGCTGTTGTAAATACTATATTTACTAATTGTAATTCATTTGCCTTCATCTACTCCTGAGACAGGGTGTCACTTTGTAGTAGAGGGTGAAAGTGATCTTACTTCAGTCCTTCTGCTTTGTTATTCACGTATGAGACCTACAAGCATGAGCTGCTGCCATTCCCAATCAAACTTCAATTTCTCTTTATTATAGAACATGTAAATATGTCTTGACTCCTACAGACTTGCTAAATTTTCTTACCATTCATAATAACATATTAATAGATTGGCGGGTTTTCTTCATAGAAAATAATGACATCTGTAAATACTTTACTTTTTGCTGTGTAGTACATAAAATGTTTTGGACCTGCTTTCTCTTGCTAACATTGGAAAAACAGGCATCATCATTTAATTCTCAGTCCTGGGGGAAAATAATTCAGTCTTTTGCCATGAAGGAAGTTTGTCAGTTACAGACATTTTTGTTTTTGGTTTTAGATGCTATGGATGAGGTTAAGAAGATTTTATTCCCAGGTTGCTATCAGTTTCACCCACAACTGAATGTAGCATTTTGTCAGATTAGAGTCTAAATCTTTTGCAACATTAAAAGCCCCCTTTGGTTTGTAAACATAGTGAATTACATCAATGAACTGTGAATGAGGAAATAGCATTCAATTTCCAACATAAGCCCCACTTGCTTAGAAATTGTTATTCTTTTAATATCTTATTAGATTTATTTTGCTCCAGTATATTGGTATTATAGGCCGTAGGATCTATAACTGGGTAATATTGATGATTATTTTTGTCCTCTGGTAGCATACATAATACCTTCCAGCACCATAAACAATAGTCAACAGGGTGATGTTTATAGTTGGGAATCAGCTTGATTTTTCTGTGTTGGATTATATAAGAATGTAGTGTCTTCATCAACAGGGCCTTACTATCAGGTTGTAATGAGTAACCAGTAGCCTTAGCAATAGCCTGTAATGACTGTGGAGATCTATGGGTTCACTTTGCCTAATAAGTCAGCAAGGTATAACCTATTCCTGGTGTTAGAGGCTTTACTTGCTAATATAAATGTCTAGTTGTGGCATTGTCTCCCAGTGTTAGTTGTCCCTTCCCACATTTCCTCCTTCAACGCACCTTCTCCTTACCCTCCCCACTTAGTCCTCCTAATCAATTTTAGTTTCCTCTTTATTCCCTTTATAATACTATATTTTATTTTCCCTTCTTTGGAAGACCCTCTCCCCCAACTTGGTTCCTTACTAGCCACCTAACAACTTTTGTTATTCTAAATAAAATAAATATATCTGAAGCATAAAGCTAACTTTCACATATAAGAGAAAATATGGAATGTTTTTTAGGTCTGAATTGTCTCATTTAGGATGATTGGTTCTAGCTCCATCAATTTAGCTGTAAATTTCATACTTTTCATTTTTCTTAAAAGTTGAATAATATTACATTGTTTAATTTACCATATTTTCATTTTGTATTAATCAGTTGATGGACATCTAGCATGTATTTCATTTATGACTATTATAAATAGAAACACAATGGTAGTAGAGGAGCAAATACCTCTGTAGCGAGATGTAGAATCCTTTGGGTATGTGCCCAAGAACCATATAACTGGATCTTGTGGTGTTTGTTTTCATGCCTTGATCAGTGTATAGGGGTTATATGATGAATTGAGCGTAAAGAATAAATGTTTTCTACTTTTTGATAACTAAGACATGTAAAACATGGCAAGTAACATGGAATGTGCTCAAACATCTTTCAGTGTAATAAAAATTTCAACTATAAAAAGTTTTAGGGAAGCCAGGAGTGGTGGTTCATGAATTCAACCCCAGCACTCAGGAGCCATTTGCAGGTGGATCTCTATGAGTTCAAATCCAGCCTAGTCTACAGAGCGAGTGCCAGGGTAGGCTCCAATGCTACACAAAGAAAAGAAAAAAAGAGTTTTAGGGTCTGGAGAGATGACTCAGTGGTTAAGAACAGTTGTTGTTTTTATAGAGAACCCATATTCAATTCACAACCCCAACATGGCACATCACAAACATCTATACCTCCAGTTCCAAGGGACTCAACACCTGTAGCTCCTGCACTACGGGATTCCACGAATCGGGCGAAGGCCTACAGATTGAAATAAAGACAAGACAGACCGGTCATTCTTTCAATAGCAATGTTGGAACTCCAAATGCCAAATGCCGTTTATTAAGGGGAAAGAACGGGCTTAAATACTGACTTACAGCACATTGGAAAAATTACAGGAATTTTAGGCTTAGCTCCTCCCTACAAGGTGTGTGTTGTCATGAGGTGTGTGTTATCAAAACAGAAAGAATACCAACAACAGCCTTGGGGCAAGGAGTTCCAGCCAATAGCTTCAGGCTTGCTCAAGGTGCCGGGTGTGTGTGTGTGTGTGTGTGTGTGTGTGTGTCCATGTAGGGTCCTACAAACACCCTCTTCTGACTTCCATGGGCACTGGCATACATGCAATGAACAGACAAGCATGTAGACAAGACACTCATACACATAAAATGAAAACAAACAAATATGTCTAGCTAAAATTTATTTTAAAAATGTTAAATGTGTTATTTTATGTGCATGGGTATTTTGCCTACACGTGTGCCTGTGCACCACATTTGTGCCTGTTGCCTGCAGAGGCTGATTGCTTAGAAATTGTAGGCTATGGATGGTTTTGAACTTCCATGTTGGTGCTGTGAATTGAATACAGGTTCTCTAGAAGAATAGGCAGTAGTCTTTTCTGCTAAGGTATGTCTCTAACCCTGTAAAAAATCATTCCAAAGAAGGAAAGTATATTATTTGAGCTAACTGAAAGGTTGTTTATGCTTAAGAAAATCTGTATGTTGAATGGAAACAAAGCATTTATTATTTTATCTCTGGAAAGAAAATTAAAAGCCAGTGATAACTTTGCTTATCTTGTTAGTATAATAGATCATTTAGTGAGATTTTTTAACTCCACTGGGTTTGAATGTCACCTCAGCTACTAACCAGTTATATGTCTCTTGATTGCCTTTATCCATAATGTAAGACTAATAGTAATATCTAATTTATTAGTTATTGTAAAGATCCAGTAAGCAAAATACAGAAAACATTGAACCAGCTGTAGGCACTCTGTAAATGCAATGACTCTTCCCTCGATTGACATAGTAAAATGGATGCAAGATTTGTCTTTAGATTTTGTGACTTGGCCTATATTTTCTAATAGCTTTGTTCTACCATTTTCCCTTTTTAAACAGATTCAGAGACATATTGTGTGTTTCAAGACAAGAAGTATAGAGTGGGTGAGAAATGGCATCCCTACTTGGAACCTTATGGACTGGTTTACTGTGTAAACTGCATCTGCACAGAGGTACAGTGCTTTATGGCATAAGATTTCCCACTCCATTCCTTAGCACACAGGGAGCTTATCAGTGCTCATTTGGACAGGGAGTCTAGGTGATTAAAAACATAAAAGATATTATTAGTAAACAGCCAGGCGTCATGGTGCATGTCTATTATCTCAGCACACACGAGGTACAGGCAGGAGAGTGAGTAGCATGAACATTCTTGGCTACATAGCAAATTTGAGATTCATTCTAGAGAGAGCTGGTGAAAAGAATGGGGACAAGATTGCAAGGAGTATCTCTCCTGCTTTCCCCCCCCTGTTAACAATTGGTTTCCTTTTCTTAAAATTCAGTGATTTTATTTACTATAAATTTATATAGCCTTCTGAACTACTTATATGGGACATAATTGGAGAGGGTAGAAGAATAGACGGAAAATTAATCTACCCTCTAGATGACAGTAGAATCAACCCCAGTTGTGGCAATAAATAATGTCTCCAGACATGTTTACTTGCCTTGAAGAAAACCACACCATGCATCCATTTGGGGAGGGAAGCCTCATCATAATCTCTAAAACCTGAGAATTCTTAATGCATAGAATGACCTACTATAAAGGCTGAATGTAACGCCTGTCATGTGCCCAGCTAGAACAAGCACAGTCACTCACAGGTCTGTTCTTCTTTGCCATTTAAATAGAACTTCTGGCTTTTCAAAACTTTACTATTTATAAAACACCCTTCAGGTATCATTATAATAGCAGTGTTATTCAGGGTTTGTGGAGTTTTATTTTCAGGGTAGATGAATTTTCAGACTCTAAAGCAGGCCACCTATGGTACATGGGGTGTTAGATAATTTACCTATAACCCCTCTGAGATTCCTTCTAAAACAGGACAACAAAGTCTGGCATGGTGGAGCATGCCTGTAGATGCCAGCATTCAGGAGGCTGAGTCAGGAGGATTATGAGTTTGAGTCCACCTGTCTCAAAAAAGAAAACAAAAGACCTATTAGCACCTATTTCATATGTTATCGTAAGGATTAAACTCACTAATTCATCTAAAAACAATGTCTGAGTAAGAACTGTTAACTGCTACTGTCATCATTATCATTATGGTTATCAGGCTCTTGTTGATCTCTGGAGTCCAGAACAGAATTCAGTGCACAACATTAAAGATGGAGTTTTCTTCTCAAACAGAACTATGCATTTTTAAACAGCAACTCTGAGGAGTGCATTAAGAGCCCCTCTGCTGTTTCCAAATGCAAGATTACAATACTTTATTCTAGAAAGCACGTGAGGAGAAGAAAGAGTTATGGTAAGGTGACTCAAGTTTGGATAAAAGAAGCCTGTCTCTTTAAATAGCTAGGGCTTGTATTAAATAGAGCATCTGGGGGCTGATTAACTGCCTGGTATGGCATTATTTTGTCAGATTCTTGACTCAGTACATTGGAGATGGACAGCTAGCCCTTGGGGGCCGAGGCTTTGAAGTCCACAAGGCAGTGAAAATGTTAACATGATCCTGATGCCAACAGCTTACAAACTAGGCATATTCTTTCTCTGTGTCCTTCACCCCCCATTACCTTGTAACAACCTGACAGATGCAAGTCACCCTTCCTTCAGATGAATTATGGATTGGAAATATAAATGTAAAACGTATTTCCAAAGCTTGCTTTGTTCTGGCAAAGACTGAGAGCTGTCAGAGTTGGGATCATGTATCTCTAAGTCATACAGGGACCAGGTTGCCTCATCCAGACATACTAGCTGATCAGCTCAATTTCTAGTTCTAGCTTGTTCTCAGAAGCAAATGTTGGCTGAAAAGGGAAATGAGGAGAGGAGTCACGAAGCCTACTGAATTAAGGCAGTTAGTTCTGTAGAGGGCAAGGACTCATGCTAGGGATGTCTCTGTGCCAGGGCTTGGGAAGCATCTCTCAGGGGACCTATTACTCACCACCCCTTCTCTTCCATGGCATCAGGCAGGTGGTTATGAAATCAGAATAGATTCTTTAAAAAAAAAACCATGCAACTAGAATTGGGAAGGATAGAACAATCACAGAGCCAGGCCAGAGGAAGCCCCCCATACTTAATGGCAGGCTTTGAAAACCGGGACTATGTTGAACCCAGCCTCAGAAAAATGTATGCTGATATGCTTCCAATTGACCCAGCAGAGGTGCTAAGAGGGAGAAAATGAGTTTTTTTTTTTAAAAGAAGGATGATTGCACTCAGATTCTTGGGAATGCATTATTCACTGTCTGGGTGAGTCCCTGCATGACTGTTTCCCAAACTGGCAGAATCCCAGTGACCTTTGAAAGACATTTTGTCTTCTCTTTTTTCTTCCTTCTCTCTTTCAGAATGGGAATGTGCTTTGCAGCCGAGTCAGATGTCCAAGTCTTCATTGCCTCTCACCCGTGCATATTCCTCATCTGTGTTGCCCTCGTTGCCCAGGTAATCCAGTTTGCCTCTGTTTCTCTAAGCTATGTGTCTCTGTTTTCCCGCTTCACCTAACCCAGCTAATCTTCCTAAACTCATCCAGAAGGGAAACTTCCAGTCAGAAATAACAATAGAACACTTTTAGACAACTTAAGCTGGCCTCCTAAATACACTTTACAGCCCAAATGGGACACATTCTGTGTTCTAATATGTTATTGGGTACCCAGTAACAGATTTTCATTGGGCTTTTAATCATTTGAAAGGGAATGAAAAGGGAAAAAGGAATTATAGCTATAAACAGCCTCTTCCTGCCATGGTCAGTGGGTAACAGGGGGGTTGTATCATTATGGCACGTGTCCTATACAATTAGTGCTGGAATTGCATCCAAGCAGAGCTTCAATATGATGAAGAGCTGTTCGTAAATCAAAAGAACTGAACCAGTAAGGTTTATAGCAGTATAAAGCTGCCTGCCTGCTGAACAGTCTCCTCCTCCACAGTGCACAGTTATTAGGTACACACTGTTAAGAGTAAGTCTGGGGAGAACCAGCTAGAGACTTGTTCTCAAGGTTGTTAGGAAGGCTGCTTTCACAGTGTGTGATTAGGGTATTTTTCTGAGGTATATGCCCCCTCCATTACACTTTGTTCTGAAATGGCTTGGGCCTGGTTCCTGCACCATGGAGAATTCAGAGAATGCCTGTCAGCCCAATGGCATTGTAAGGGACAGTTACCTGACAGTCTTGAGATCTACAAGGCCTTACTACCCACTAGGTTATGATGCAGAACAGAATTGTTGAGACGTAGGTTCCTGAGTGGACTTTTAGAGAGAACTCTTCAAAATTAATTGCAGGATTTCAGTTTACTGTGTACTGCTTTATTGATATTACTTTATAAAGTAAGCTTTTCAGTCCTAGTAAATATAGTCCAACAAACATAAGCATCCCAGATAACAAAATATCACACACAGTTCTATCACTTTGAATTTTGGTGGTTATAGTATAAGCTTCAAGAGACGAGAAATTGACCAATCTGAAAGTTACTTTACAGAGTACATTCCTGCATGACCTTGCTATTTTTGAATGTGTTCATTTGCTTCTGCTTAAGCTGGATTACAAGGGTATAATATGCAAAAGGCTCTTGTAAATTAGAGAGTAGTATTTCTGATTAAATGGCTACTCTGGAGGTTTTCTTTAGTCTGCCAGATAGCCTGCTAAATCACTATAAAAATCTCTCCAAGAAGTCTCACAAAGTGACACAATGTAATAGGAACTTATCTAAAGCTCAGCTTCTTAAATCATGAATAATTGCTAGAACACAATTATTGACAAAAAGTGGAAAGTAGAAGCTAGAAGCTATTCTAAGAGAAAGGGGAAGTGTTAAAAGAATTGAGATCATAAATCTCCAGAGGGAAAAGGTGAAATAAAATGACTTGAAAAGCTAAGTTTGTAGTACACAGAATCAAGGTTTGTTTTTCCTTTCCTTACTCTTGCAGTTTACTTCTGAGGAGGTTAATATTTCTTCTTCATTGTGCAAGCTCTTTCTGTGAATAGTTGTGCCAAAATTCTGTAATCCTTACATGCAAAATGTCTGATGTTATTCTTGAGTGGTAGTTTGACTGGGTATAAAATTTTAGGCACATGCACATTTTCCATCAGCACTTTGAAGTTCTTTCTCTAAATGGCTTCTTGTCTTCTTTTGTTTATGGATAAAAAAATGGACTATTTGATTGTAGTTCTGTTTTAGGGTCTTTTAATTCCTTCATCTAGAAAGATTTTCTCTTTTACTTTGATGAACATACTAAACTGTGCTTATGTATAACTTAGTTTCCTTTAGCCTATTTGGTATGATTGCTTCTTGGTATTTTGTTTTGAGACAGGATCTCTCTACATCATCCTGGCTGTCCTGCAAATCACTATGTAGATCAAGTTGACCTCAAACTCATAGAGATACACCCGCCTCTGCCTCCCTAATACCAGGATTAAAGGTGTGCACCAGAATGTCCAGTTGTTTTTTCTTATGTTGTTTTTCAGCCTAAGTACTTAGAAATCTATTTGTTAGTTATCATTTTTATAAACATAATCCCCCACATCAGTGGTTCTCAACCTTCCTAATGTTGTGACCTTTTAATAACTCATGTTGTGATGACCCACCAAGCATAAAATTATTTTATTGCTACTTCATAATTGTAATTTTGCTGCTGTTATGAATCATAATGTAAATATCTGACTTGCAGGATATCTGATATGTGGCCCTTGTGGGGGTTGCAACTCAAAGCTTGAGAAACATTGAGTTATTTTTGCTTCTTTTTGTTGAATCTCTCTGTGTCTTTCTCTCTGTGTCTCTATGTCTCTCTCTGTCTCTCTCTCTCCATCCCTCCATTTAGTTTTGAGACAAGGTTCCATGTATCCAACACTAGCCTTCCTGATTCTCCTGCCTCAGCCTCCCTAGTGCTATAAAATGTCTTTCATGTGTATTTTTGCACCTCATTTAATTTGTCCTCTGTGTCTCCTAATGTCTGTTTTGCTTTTTTTCACATATTTCTCCAGTGATACTTCATCAATTCCATTCTATAGTTTATAAATTCCTTTCAGATGTACTATTTAGACAATCTGTTAGGTTTTGTTTATTTATCTTATTTTATTTATTTTTACTTCCTTCCAAGTTTTCAAACTGTATTTTTAAAATATTGACATGTTATTTTTTAGTCTTTTTATAATTTCTTGGAGTTTATTCTTTCTTGTTTTGTTGCTTTAAGTATTTGAAATCTTAATATACTACATTCTAGGTTGAAATTTTTATGTTTTTTTTTTCAGGTGTAAATTCAGATTTTTGCAGTTTCTTGATAGCTTGTCTTAGTTCCAAATTTTTCTTTTTCTAGATATTGTTTAAAAGTTTATTTTCCATAAGTTTTTTATCATGAATGATCCCTTTATTCATTCACAAGTGATTATTTCAGGTCTTTTGACATTCCTCCTGCCTTGATATTTTGTCTACTTTTATTGTAACTTGGAGTACTATTCCTTCATAATGTTCTTGAAGTAGGACCTCAACTACAACTGGCAACTTTGAATAATCAGTTTATTTTGGATATCAACACAGTGTGGGTAGAATTATGCTGGAGCCTTTTTAGATATGAGACATGGGACCTTGGGCCTCAGCCATGGTAGTCATATTTTTATCGTTATGAAAACTCAAATTAACTGAAAAGATAAATGGTTATTCTGGCTCACCTTTTCAGAGGTTTCAGTCCAGGGTCGTTTGACTATGTCACTTTTGGACTTATGAAGGCTAGCATGATGGGAATTTTTGAGTGAAAGAATTTGTTTATGCAACATTAGGCAGACAATCAAGCAGGGAGAAAGAGGAGAAACAGAGATCAGTGTTTCAATATTTCCTTCAAGGAAATGCCCCCTCACCAAATGTATCTTTTTTACACTAGGCCCCACATTCTAAAAGCTTTGTTCCATCTTAATAGTGTGGCATATTGGCACCTAAGCCTTTAACATTAGGTCTCACAGGGACATTAAAGATGCAAAACATAACACCAGCTTCACAAACAAGCCATGTGCAGACTATAATTCCACATTAGCTGTATAGCCATACCTATCTGTATGTTGTCCCAGCTGCCAGCTGAACATTTTATCTGACACTAAATCATTATTGTACATATGATTCCATAAAATATTTCATTTTTGTTTTGCTTTGTATCATCATGGTTTTTCATTTGAAAAAGAACCAAGGGATTTTTCATATGTTCTCTTGAACCAAATATTGAACCAAAATTCTTTCTATAAAAATAAAACAAAATAAAAGTAAATTGTTTAAATCATAGTGGTCAAGAGGGAGTTTGATAAAAGGAAGAATTTTGTTATGCAGTTTTTTTAATCTCAGTTCTATTATATGGAGATTTTTTATCTCTTTACTGAATATTTCTAGAAATAAACAGTACCCGCTCATGTGAGATAGCATGTCATAATCCTGTTTTGAGACAGGACAATAAATTTGATAATACCTCTATACGATTTCCACTCCAGTGTTTACTAGGCATGAAGAAACTCATGTCTTCAGGGCCACAGAAACTTTTGGTCAAAGAAAAGGCACTACAGTTAAGTTATGATATTACCCAGTGTTTATATTCTGTAACAGAGGTATATATACACATTCATGTTCATTGTTGTTCTATTCATAGTATCTAGAAAATGGAATCAGCCTACACAGTCACCTGCAAATGAAATGATAATAAAAAAGTGGCACATACCTATAATGGAATTTTAGTCTGCTTTTAGGGAAAGCAGTAGAAAGGGTAATATAGCACATGTGATAAGAAAAGAGAAGGGGAAATACTGTTAGGGACAAATGATGCTAGTAGGGAGGGAAAACAAAGATAGCGGAGAGGAGTTAAGAAGGGAGTGGTCCAACTAAAATCATGTGTGAAAAATGACACAAGGAAAACTGTTACTTTGTTAACTTTAAAAAGAAAATTATATAAAGTCTGTATTTATCAATAGAGGAAAACAGGGGAGGAGAGAGAATAAGATTGAAAAAGTTCCATAGATGGAAACCATATAAGCACTATTTCTAAAAATAATAATTTTCCATAGTGGCCAACAAACAGCACTGTGACAAGGGATGATCCATATAGATAATGACAAGATTAATGGAAGGTTTCTAAAAGTCATGCTTAGAAAGGAAACCCTTTACTCTCAAATTTCCTAAGGGCCTTACCTATATTTGAAGATGTCCTGCAGCTCCTTCAAAGTATACAAATCCTAGTATGCAGACTGCTTCTCCAGAATTGCCAGCAAAAAGTATACACATTGCCACGAAGAGCAAATGAGGTGTGTTTTCTTCAATTGGCCACATACATTGGCATCTTCTGGGCCTGAAGAAGCTGGTGCTACACAGAGGCTGGAACATTCTTCCAAGTAAAGTCTAAACTGCCAGGGATCATGGATGATCTCTAAGCAGAACTGTGTGGTTCTTGAGAAGTCTATAGCAATGAAATACCCTATCTTCTC